CGCATGGCTTTCCTACCGATGCGCATTGTCGATGCGAGTGTGCAGTAGTGCTGGTCTATAAAGTGATGGTGGGACATGCACGATGATTGAAAAGGAATGAGGGAAGGAAGGATGGATGGATAGGTGGACGGATGGATGGATGGATGGATGGTAGAGGGGGTGGATGGATGAGTGGGAGGAAGGAAGGAGGTGAGGGATTTGGCAATGGGTGGATGGAATGAAGTAGGGATGGGTGGGTAGTGTGATGGATGGATGGATGGATGGCTAAAGGGGTGGATGGAGACGAAGATGGATGGTTGAAGGGGTGGATGGAGAGAGTGGGGGATTGATGAGGGAAGGAGGGATGGGAAGGTTAGACTGATGAAGAAGTTGAGGTGTGCAAGAATGGAGGAGGAGGAGGAGGAGGAGAAGAAGAGGGGGCGGAGAAAGGAGGGATGAAGTGCATTCACCGTCACCAACAGTGCCATTGCCAAGGTGATGCTAATTGGCTGAGGACAAATTCACACGTTGGGGTGGTGCTGCACATTTCACACGGTGTCTCACCAACATGCGTGATGCGTGCACCTTCTCCAAGCACACTGAATTGTTGGATGAAGGAGTGTGGCCTCCTCAATGGTGCAGTGGCTGGCAGTGAGTGCATGCAGGCGACGAGAGGAAGGGAGGGTGCATTACCGCGTGTTGTAAGAGAAGAGTTGGTGGTGGGGGAGATGACATCTGAGGTGGCACAGCATGGAAGTGGTAGAGGCAGTCAGACGTCACGCATGAACGATGGTGGCGAAGGTTGTGGTGTGTGAGGAATCAGTTCCTGCTGCATGCAGCACGTTCATAAGTAGAAAGGCATGTCAAGCAGCACCTCGACATGTGATGAATTGGGGGGTGAGAATTAGTGGTGTTGTGGCTTAATTTGGCAGAGGTGGGAAGCGTGGGTGGATGAGGCGGTGCTGCTGCTGGTGCTGCTGCAGCTGATTGTGATGCAGTTGAGGGTGACGATGAATGGAGGAAGGTGAGGATTGTGGAGGTGGGTTTGCGCATACATGTGAGAGTAGAGGTGGAAGCATCGTACGGAGTAACTGCCAAGAAGTCACTAATATTCCAGTTGGTGCAACAACTGAAGGAGGTAGAAAAGGAAGTATAGGTGGAGGAGGAGGAGGAGGAGGAGGCAAAAGCACCTGAATGACGCAGCGCTGCATGGAATGTAGGGCATAACTTGTAGGTGAGGGCAGACAATTTGTACTGCTGCTACTGCTGCTGCTGCTGCTCCGCCTCCGCCTCCGCCTCTGCCTCCTCTCCTACGACGAACACACTTTCTCACTCCACCCTCCCATTCCATCCCCCTTCTCTCTGCCACAGTGTACCCACCAACTCATAGTCTGCACTCAATATTGCCCCCCACCCTGCCACCAGCCACAACGCCTCACTCTATCACATCGACGGAATGTCAAGAACTGGAGCAATTGTCGAGTGTCCTGCGTGAGATTGGAGTGACACACATGCAACGTGACAACAAAGCACAGTGGTGGTGTGTCGGGTGGAGTGGTGGTGGAGATAAGTGCGACCAGCTGAAAACGTTGGGCGAGTGAGTACGTGTGTGCATGGCATCATCTCGCACTTTGGTGTGCACAGCACTGAGGTCGGATGGTGGGTGGGAACAGCGGTGACGGAATGGGGATGTGGAGAGTGAGGGATGAGGACGCGACGTGGAGGGAGGAGAAGGTGGATTCGGTGGTGAATCGAGTGTCTTCGTTGGGTGTCGCATCAATCGCGTAATTCAATATCAACAATGAGGGAGATGGTGGTGGTGGTGGTGGTTGTGGTGGCGTGTGGAAGGAATTGCAGTGAGTTGTGCAACAGAGCGACAAAATAATCACACATGAGGTGGCGTCGATTGTCCTCAGCACAGAGGCATTGGTGTTAGTGCATGCATGAGGAGAGAGGGAGGGAGGGTGGATGAGTGGGAGGTGGCAGCAGGAGCGCAACTCGTATGCAAATCACCTAATGTGGCACAAATCGCCACCAAACAACGAATGTCCCATTGTTGTTATTAGTGAAGGGTGGGCATGAGCGAGACAATTGTGCGGGTTAGTGTTGTGCAATTGCCTGTACTTTGTGCCTCACACTCTCTCCACATTCGTCTCACCTCATCTCGTCTCACCTCACCAAGTGCTGCAGATGCAATCACAGGAGGAATGTAGTGATGTGGAGTGGTGAACAAGAGGTGGAGGAAGATGGGATTATGGTGGAACGAGGAGGAGGAGGTGGAAGAGTGATTTTAGGGTGAATGTGGGTGAAAGAAATGGCAAAGATGGGTAAATGGATGGATGGATGGATGGACGAGTGGGTGTGTGAGTGGTGAGAGGGAGGAATTTGGGAGTGGAGAGCGGTGGAGAGTGTTGTGCACGCATAAAGGATGGCGTAAAGTGTGTGAAGAAGGCACTCCATGAGGGTCAGGTGACTGCGGTCATTTGGGTGCACGCTGCCACCACTTCATACGCGCATACACACACGTGCAGAGTGTGTTGAGGTCAATGGATGTGTGGAGGGAATGTTGTGGCATCGGTGGAACGGGCGACAGTGGATGAGCGCGTTGCACCTCAATTGGGAGTACCGTTGGAGGGGACACACGTTGAAGGTGAAGTGAATGACCGTTGATGATGACGAGACGAGAGTGGGCGTTGACGACGAAAATGCGGGTACTGGAGGCAGTGGTGATGATCAGGATGTCTCGCAAGGTAGATGGTGCGCAAACTGTAGCGACTGCCACTCAACCACCTGACCAAACAGGCGTCCACTTACAGTC